ATTCTGTATCCTAAAGTTGGCTTTAATACTTATAATATTTTGGTTTTAATTATCTTTAGGACTTTGAACATTATTTCTAACATCCATAATTGGACATTATTCCTAAGATCAAGATATGATTTTCTGTCTTTGACAAAAAGTCTTGGTACTTCCTTGTACTGAGCTCTTTATTTATTTTTACTTATTTGTTTATTTTTAATTCCATCGACGGGCTTCAACAGGCTGAAACTTACAGCTGAGCCAGCTGTTCCGTCGATGGCGGAAAGAAAAAGTGCTTCCTTGTTAAAGCGCCACGGTACACGTTTTGGCAGAATTTAAAATTAATTTGACTAAAATTAGAATATTCTATTGCAGCCTTCAAAAAAGAAGAAAATAGCAGTGTTTTGTCTGTGCGAGGAGTAGAATAACGTTTATTTAGCTTTGTAGAGACGAAAGTTCAGCAGTTTTTGATGTTAGACAATGAAATCTTTTCTCTCGTTGGATATATTGCCGCCATATCAGTTTTTCTAAATATGAATCCAGTGTTGGTGAGATTTTCCTCTTTTTCTTTTGTTTCGCCGTTTGACCGTTCCCAGAATCGCTCGGTTTTCTGTGCATTTGGACCAGATGTTGGAAATGTTAAAAATGTTTGTAATTCCTTGCTCTAACAAGCACATCAGCAATCAATATATGTTGTACTTACTTTATGTACATGTACTTTTATCATCTCCATTAAAGTTTTGATACCTCTATCTAGTACGTATTTGGAAATATTCGCTTATTTCCATGCAGATTACTCCTAAAATTAATTGTTTCGGTAAATTCTTTTTAGTTTACTTGACAAATAAATTTTCATTAGACTCGACGACTTTTTTCAGTGTACTTACTTTATGTACATGTTCCTTTCATTTAGTTGATCAAATATAAATGAAAATTTTCATTTAGTTTTTCAGCGAATTCCTTTCATATAGTTGTTCCAATAAATAATTATTCTTTCACTCATATTTAACTATTGCACCACCTGGTGGAAGTTACTTCTTCATCCCATCAGTATATAAAGCGCAAAACGGTAAGAAAGGGATTCCTTGAATTAAGTATAATGTTTTTTCCTTGCAAAGCTTCACTTTGCATCTCCAAATATTTTGCTTTTCAATAAATCATGTCATTTGTCAGTCTTTGTTGCATTTTTTCTCAGAATGCAGAAATTCCCTCTCTTAAAAAATACTGCTGCTCTTTGAGAGAAGTTAAATATAAATAGCATTTTAGAAGGGAGAAAAATAATAAAGGATAAGTAAGAAAGAACTGTTTATTTTCTAATTTGATGGAAAGTTAAAAACGGTCAACATCATAAAGAGAAAATAATTAACAAAAGAATGATATCTCCCAGTAAGTAAAAAATAATAAACCTTTTAAAGGGAAAAAAAAGAACATGCTTAACCAATATCACGCGAACATCATCGTAATAAAAGAAGTCTGAAAATCAGACAAAACACTCCAGCTTAAAAAATAATGTAGGAATTAAATTTTCCAAGTTTGGCGCCTAATCTTCCGATTCTGGCGACTGACTGAGATTTCCACCTTAACAAGGAAGTACCAAAATATTTTGTTGACAATTTTCTATCGCATGTTTTTAAATGTAAAATAAAAAAATGGGCAAAAATTCACAACGGGTCTAGAGAACTAATATGCATTTCTGTAATTATTTTCAATAAATATTAAAATGCAAATTACAGATGCCTCAGGAATTTGTTAATAAGCCTTCTCATCGTCATATATATAGACAAAAGACACAGTTAAGACCCAACGACACAGCTTATTATGATAAATGACCAAGTCTATAACGATAAGATTGCTTACAATAAACTGTTCATGCGACTTAAAGCAGTTAAGGAAAAAAGAGGGACTCTGTGAAAAATATAAAATCTGTTACTTCGAAAACCCTTTCCTGATTATAAAAAAATAAAAAATAAAATAAACTTTAATAGCCGGTTATATATTTTCCGTAGTGGGACTCTTGGGTAATATTTAAATAGCATTCTAGAATTTTATTCTAGAAGTCAGATTCAAGCTATAGTTAATTCACGAATATCATGAAACAGTTTCCAGAGAATATATTTGAAAAGCAACATAGAATTCTCGAACTCTGGGCGGATCTACTTTAGATTTCCAAAGCTGCAAATAGTCGTTTCAGGCACAGGTACAACATTCTGCCATTAAATGGCTCAATTTAAAATAATTTATTCTGCTTTTAACATACAATGCGGTAAGTATATATCCTCGACTAGGGTTACTAGGAGAGGGCAATTGTTCTCGGTGGATGACTTAGAGTACATGTTCTTTCTCTATTCATACAATTTTAGGCTTGAACTATCTTGTACCGAATTCCAGGTTTATTTCATTGTCATAAATGGGAGTTAATGAAATATTCGAGTTTCTAGTAAAGTGATTTTATTTTAATATTCCTTTCATTTCATTTGACTTTAAAGGTAATAACGCAGAAACATTTGATTATTTTCCATTTTTCAAAGAAGGAATATAGCTAGCATGATGTTATCTCGCATGCAATGATGAATAAGTTGGGTAGAATCTGATCATTCAACCTTTTTTGAATCATACTAAAGTAGAAAACTAAATAAGAGTTTTCGATTTAAGGAGTTCTTAAAATAATTTTCGTTGCTGAGTTCGAAACTATTTTTTAACTATGCATCTTCTCAAACAAAACACTTTAAGACTTTCTGCTTAAGGAAGGGATGCCTTTGTAAAGGAAATGACAAGAAAAACTGCCTCGCTTTCATGTCCAAACTGCAGCTACTATATAAACTAATAGACCCCTGCGATTAAATTATTATTAACTAATATTTAATTGTTACAGCTTGACATACAGTGTAATTATTGTTACAATTTGATCACAACTTCCTTCTATTTGATTATATTCATAAGAAACAATTAAAAGGATAATCTTCTGCTAACACATTGACATTAGAAACGTCCTTAATGGAGATTTTACAAAGTATTTTACTGCTATGGTAGATTATGCGGCTGTGCATTTATTCTCTACGAGACTTGATAAATGTTGCCATTGCGCAGAATATAAGCTCTCTGATTTATTTTCTTTTATACATAAACCTTGAGCATAACCGGTTCTCAAAATTCTGCCATTCGATAACGCATAAAATTTCAAATTAGAATTCAGATTTATTGTGCAGTTATTTAATACTTTGAGCAAGTTTAAAACTATAAGCGTATTTCTTAATTTAAATCTTTATTTTATTTTTAATTAATGCATCTAGTTGACATCTAAAAGATAATTTTTAGGTACATTGTCAATGTTATTATAATTCATAAAAGAAGTTTCCAAACACCACATATTACGTTCCTGTTACAGAATCTTTTAATCCTAGTGTACGTGACTAATATAATTTAAAAGACGATCAATTTAAAATTTAGGAAGGACGAAAAATCAGTCCCTCATTTAAAAAAGAAATATTAATTTAATTATTTAATAATATTCTTTTTAACTTTATAATATAAACATCTTGGAGATTCTTTTAGGTTAAATATGAAAGATAACAAAAAATTATTCCTGTTTTTCGCTTTCATAAAGGCGAGATCCTTCTCTGGTACTCTCCATAACGGTTTGCAGAGTGACTCTATGCTTCAACTCCTTCAGCTCAGCTTCAGTCCCGAATTCTTGTTGAATGGAAGGATAATACTCATTGGAAAAACTCGAAAGATAAACGCATCCACTTTGCAAGCAGTTATGAAGAGTGCGAAAGAAACAGCCCGCCTTTATGAAGGGGAAAATCATTTAAAACATGTTATCATACATGTTTAGGTTAAACAAATTTTTAAGAGGTTTACATTATAATGTTAAAAAGATAATTATTAAATACTTAAAAGTAAAAACGTTGTTTCATTTTTAAATGGTGAAGGGTCTTTTGCTGACCCACCCTGTATATTCAATTGATAATTCATGGAATTTACGTAAAATAGATGTCTATAAAGAAAGTCATTTCATTGCAAATGCTTAATCAATTATGATAAGATACACGATTCTGTGATTGGAATTAGGAATACGTTCGTATAGAAATCTTTCAAAGAAAACACTGGCACATATTATCCTGTGCATCAGAAACGCTACGAAGCACCTTTGCAGCCAGACCTTTTGGCAGTGATGTTTTAACTTATTACCCGTTTTTGCCTTTTATGCCAAGCTGAGCCTCGAACAATGAGGGAGCAAGGGATTAGTTTCAAGGACAGTTTCCTGATCCAACAGAAGCTTATTATAAGAAGTTTATATGTACTGTGTTTGATTCAAGCAGATTATTGCAACTTTTTCAGAAGGTGTCAAATCTTTCAAAGTGTTTTCATGATCAATCATGTTTTACTCTAAAAATATTACAGTATATTTTCCATTTCTGAAACTGAAGTAAGAAATGAAGAAAGTGTCACAAGTGAAATAAATGCTGCATGTGTTTTTTTTTTTCAGGAATGAAAAACATGCAACATTTATTTCACTACTTTCATGTTTTTCATGAATGAAAAATATATAGGTATGCTTTATAATTTTTATGTTTCTGTATGTAAGTACTGAACTGCTCGTTTTCCTGCTATTCTTCGAAAATATTTCTTAACTCTGTATCTGAGAGAGGTTTTAGGAAAACACTTTCTTTATAAACTGGCTGTGTATGAAAAACCTCTTAAATTTCAATATGAAACTATCTTTTTTTTATCCTCGATAGGTCCCACTGAAACTTACGCAAGATATTATATTCTGCAAACGCAGTCAATAATATTTTATATCTCTGGAGGAGATTACGGTATTACAGTTTAAAAATTTAGATAATTGTTGAAACTCACCGACAACCAGTTGATTTGCGCATGCGCGCAGCAAAAACTAAATCAGAACTTTTTAGTTGAGCTTTAAGAACTCGTGATGGGTGTTTGAGTGAAACTTGTAATCCTTATATATATATATTAGTTTAGTGATGTTATTGTAATTAAATATCTTATTATCTTAGAAGCCTCCCTTTCTGTGAGTAGTGTAGTGTGTAGATGTACTTAGGAAAAGTACTCTCGGATATGCTTTGGAGAAGAAAAAAGATCGAATAGAAGGTAAGTCCTTCTTACCTTTTATTTTCTAAGAATTATACAATAATAAAAAACTTCTGTCTTCAATAAACTGCTATAAATACGTATAATTAACAACTGTTAATTGCTAAATTAAAATTCACGAGAAAAAAAGATCTAGTGAATGATAATTAACCCTATTATTCCCATTTATTCTATCATAACTCTAACAGATACCAACCTAACCAAAAACAAAAACTACAACAACGAAAGCACAATATCATATATGGATGGATGTCTGTTATTATACCGAGTCCTGAATTTAAATACGTTAAACGTAATTCAGATTAAAGAACAAATGACATTTCTTACTGTTAAAGCTGTTGAAAAATTAAGGTAAACTTCATTAAATTGAAGACTTCACACACATATATATATATTAATGTCAATGTATATTCTATAATTATCAAAATGATTTATTTTAGCAAACGTGTTTTTTCAAATATATTTTTACATCATGGATATTTAAGTTTTGTCTCCTTTTTATTAGGATGTATCAATAAAATTCCTTGTCCTGCCGACAGCAATGTTAACGTAAAATATAAAGTATCTCCAAGAAAGGTGGGACTTTACAAGGTCTATGTGAAATATGTATTAAATAAATCGATCGAAAAATTTTCTGGTTAATTCAGTCCCTCACGTAATAATCACGTAATAATTAACGTTAAATCGAATACCTTTCACAGCAGCAAGAATTTCAGTAGTAAATGCAGACAATATCAGGCTGAAGTTTTCAAATGATTACGAACGAGCTATTCTTCCAAGTAGCATCTCTGCTTTGTAAAACAATAGCATAATATAATTCTAAGTTACAGTATACAACGTTTTCGTCTTCTTTCATAAATACATTTACAAATTTTAACATGGTTATTCTCATATCGTGAAAGTACATTTAAGATTAAAAAAGCCATCAAAAGAGGATAAATCGCCAAAAACTGATGTCGATAAACGAATAGATTGGCAGGTGTCGGGCGAGAGAAGCGCCATTCTGGCGCGACTGGGATCGCCCGCTACAACGTGGGACCGACTGAAAACTTGGCCTTTTCATTTAAGGGTGGAACTTCAACTCACGGTAATAACTCTCCCCTTTCTCTTTCGATCACTTATAAAGGGCAAAGGGGTAGATAAAAAAACTGAAGCGATTATTTAGAGTCTTCAAGAGCAGTTGAGCCTGCTTTCTTTCTTTCTATTATTCTTTATTACTTCGCATGCGTGAAAAGTTATATAAATGGAACGCTGTTGAATCACCAAACGCTTAAGGGTTACACAATGTTCTGAAATATCGAAATGAAGTTACTTCTGTTTCTGTTTTATTTTAGTTATTATAAAATATTTGATTTGATTTGAAAAATTCTTCCGTTACATTCGTTACAGTTTCGTAATGATAGTAAATAGCAAATTTCGAATTTGGATACGAATTGCGTCATTAATGTCAACCGAATAATTTTTACTGGCTTAAAAATTAAGCCATTTTATTTTTGCAAGTTTAATTTAATCGATAGCTATGACAGCTCATATTGTGTATGGTCAAATAGTTTCATTATACTGATTTTTTTTACCGCTTCCACAGGATAAACTATCGAAATTTATAGCAATGATGTTATAATTCCACAAAATGAATATAAATGTTACATTGCACAATTTCTTGGTTTTCGTATTTGTATAATTTTATTTCTTCAAAAAAAAAATCCTATATGGCTAACTTTCTTGCAGGATACTTTATTTGCCGACAATACCGCTGTACAGGAAAGCTTCGTTTATAATTTCCAATACCACTAAACCAATTTTGTAGTATAATTGCTTCCTGAAGTGTAGATTTCCTCAAATTAAAATTCAGTAATGTTATTTTTTCCAATTTCCAAATTGTTAGAAATTTTTACTTTAATTATTCTGTAAAGTATTATGTTTTATTTTTAAAGGAACTCAGCGATCTTTAGTACTGCTAATTTGCTTTGCAGCGAAATTTATGATTTGATGTAAAAGTAAGCATTTTCGTATTTCAGTTTGAGATCGCAGACGATACCTTACTTCACATCAAAATCTGCAAAAATATTTCTTTATTCTCCAAATTTGGCTTACCAAAGAAACATTGCTCTATACACTTCATAGGAAAAAAATACATTATTTGAAAATTTTGCATTGGAGGATGAGGAATAGTTTACAAATTGGAGTGACTGCATTATTTTTTCTAGTAATGCATTTAATGTCCAATTTTTTCCTACCAGTTGCAAGGCATTATTCTGACGCTGCCAAAATAATATGCCGTCAATTTCTGTCAAGTCAAATGCGCGTTTTCCTTTATCTCTCAATTCTACAGCGAATTTTAGAACCCATTGCTATTGCACTGCCAATTTTTTATTTTACTTTTTTATAATAGTTCTCCCTAAATATCTTTCTGCTCTTTATGTTTCACACTGGTATTAGCTAGTAATTTATCTCGTTACATTACATTTGCATATTTTAAAACATCTTACTGCGTGTCTTCGTGGTGTAACTGAGAAGCACGTCCGGCTAGCAATTGGACGGCTCGGAATTCGAATCCTGGCGATGTATCCTGATCCGAAATAAAATGTCTAATGTTCTTTATATTCTTACTTCGCAAGAGTTACAGCGCTACAAATTTCAACTCTAGAACAAGCAGGCATAAAAATAATAAAAATAGTGAATGAATGGAGTCCTTCGCTTCCTATATATCCTCTCTTCGCTTCATGGTATACTTTACCTCTCCCATGGTAAAAAATTATCGAATTTGCGACGGCTCAAAGCATCTGCATCATTATCATTACCTTTTAAAACTTTCAGTGTTCTCACTTAGCTTTTAGTTATGGTTAATGACACACGAATTTCAACAATTAATTTGATTTTAGCTTTTATCTTTCTTATTGGGTTATTTAGTCACGGGCTCGTTCCTGAGATTATTACGCAAAAGCAGTTTAATATAAAATCACAGGAATAGCTTGTAACTATATGAGAGTTGGATTAAAGTTGGCTACTTGCCTGATGCCCCGCGCAAGATCAGGAGCTCAAAGCATAGCTTGTAGGTTAAGTTAAGGTTTTGATTAGCTGTTAGTGGTTGATTTGCGATTTTGTAGCCTCTTTTAGAAAGTAGTTTGATCCTGTATTTACAAGACTTTTTTAAATCAAATTTTGTGTACACCGCCAGACTGTGTTGCGAGGTATTTTTATTTTAACTCTCACAAATGGCTAGGTAAAATAAATTAAGTTGAATATTTGAGTATGGGTGTTTTCAAGGAGGAGTTAAACTAGTATTGAAAGGCAGCTTCTACGTAACGCTTGAACGGTAAGAGTTGTTCTTGAACTAGTTAAGAATTAGATTTATCTTCATATAAGTGTTACAATGGAAAGTGAAATTACATTGCAATTACTTTAATTATGTTCATAGGTGTGTGTATTTATTGTACTGGCGTTACTTTTATTATTATTTCACATTTTAAAACATATTTGTTGTTATTTGATACTTTTTTGAAAATCTAAGAATGTTGAGATTTATATTTAGTTTTCATTCGTGGTAATTTCTTCTTCTCTTTAATCCGTTTCAGACTAGAAAGGAGTTACTCGAACGCTGTATTTTCGTTAAGGCGAGAGAAACCTACGTATACATTTGATACATTACATTTAATGCTATGTTCATGATGTTTCATCAATTTTTAAACATTTAACATTAAATTTGTATTGCCTCTAGTTCACATGAGCATAATTTCCTCGAAATTAAAGCATTTATAATTATGTAGTTATATTTATAATACACAATATCAATTTTAATGTTATAAAATAAATTTCAATTAACGAGTTAAAATATAATGCTCTTATATATTTAGAAGCTATTTCTCATTATATAATACCTACTGTTTCTCCGTTAAAAGCTGAAATTAAAGATAAAACTCAATCAATATGACATGTGAAAACAATATCTAAAAACTAATGGGTGTTTTTTTACATATTCCCATTGTGAAAGAGACGATAATGTCCAACAGCTAATAGAAATGGTTCTGGAGTCATCAATAAAATGAAACTGATATTTGAAGTAAAAAAGAACGGTTTGTTGCCATAGAGAGCTCTCTATTCTTTGGGGATGAAGAGATTACTATATGGCTTTCCTAAGAAGCCTTTGGAAGCGAGATATATCAACTAAAACAAGATCAACGACTTATAAGAAAGCTATCTATTCTATAGATACAGAAAAATTCTTTGCCTTTCTCATCACTTGTTTCTTTCTGTGCCCGAAGAAATAAATGAAAAAAAAATATATGAAATACAAAGGATTTATATTTTTTGTCGGACACTCCTGAACATGCTACAAAAAAGAGCACTACCCATCTTTCAATTACTGATAATATCCCCCTAAGATGGGGATGTACAGGACTCTTATGACTAGAAACTTGAATTACAAAAACGTGGGGGGAAAGTGGCTTTATTGCAGCAACCATCATAATTTTATTTGGTAATTTTGTGGCCTTTTTTGTGGTTTTAAATAAACCTCAAATAGATCGTCTAGTTTCAAGTTGGACTGATGTGGGTATCATGCTCTGGAACTGAGGATTGATACCCCAGATGTTGGGATTGAGAGTATGGGTAGAGATTTAAGCTGCCTGATTGATGGATTGCCCTCTTAATGCTTAAAGACAAGTTTAGAGGTTTAGTGGAGAACCCTATATTTTCCCCTACAAGAGAGGATGGGAGGATTTTTTGCCAGTAGAGTTACTAACAGTAGCAGAAAAAGTCTCGCGCTCTCAGTCTGTCTCGGTATGTCTAAACATACAGTAAAATTTCATGGAGTTCATAAACCGCATTCACAAAGACATTTGAAATTAATAAAAGAGCTTCTGTCATCCGATAAAAGTTTTACATCATTAAGTTTCCCCCCTCAATATTTTTTATAAAAAATAATGAATGCAAGTTTGAGTCAGTTTTTTCATTCTGAAATAAATAAATAGTTTTCTACATACTCGGAGCTAGGACATAAA